ATATTTTCGCTCATTAGTTTTTTGAAGAAAAACATAAAACAATATTCGGTCTCCCTGTTCTCTCTTAACCTCGAGAAGACTGAGCATTTCTGCAAATCTCATCTATTTTTCTCTAAATAGGGCTATATTATTACTGTTGCCCAAAATAGATCTTGGTTTTGCACTTTGCAAGACCAAGACCAAGGCTACCTAACTGTTGCAAGACCAAGACCAGGACTGGTAAAAAAAAATCGATTTTTAAAATAAAAATTAAGGCAAAATAGTTACTAATACTTGACAATTTTAGTTACTATAGGGTAATAATTGGTACAACCAATATACTTTTGCATTTAACTCCTCTAATTTTTCATTCGGGCTTAGTTAGATTTCTTCTATCTCAAAAATTACAGTAATATCTCTATAGTAATAAGCTAATAATTAACTGCACGACTGTTGCGAGAGTCTTGCGCAAGACCAATACCATGACAAGACTGAGTTTGCAAGACCAAGACTCGTCTCGGTCTCGCATTTGGTCAACACTATATATTATCTTTCAAACCTGTATAAATTTTAATATATAATTCATAAAGTTTTCATAAGATTAAAACCATATGATTCCAAAACTTAAGTTTACTTTCTCTGAAATAATTAAAAATAACTATGCTTGGCGCAAAGATGTGCAAAATTTGATGATGAAAAAGAAATAGAAATAGAAAGAATCCAGTGAAAAAGAAATATAATTAAGTGAATTATCAAAACCAGTCTTAAGCAATAACACAGATATTGAATTAGATTAAAAATAAAGTAATGCTGGAACTACACTGACAGGCAAAAAATTCCACCCACTTGATTTTTACATGTTTTCATCTAAAAATACTTCTGCTTTGGATTGGTCTATTGTTTTTAATGAATAAATAGGTAATCTTTTTGTTTGTTTTCAATTAGGAATGTTAATATAGAGGACAATAACCTTAATAATGAAATACTTTTTAAAAACTAAAATTTAAGAATAATAGAAATTTACAATTAATAATTTACAAAAATTATAAATCACTATACATAAAGTAAACAGTTACATTGATTTTTCTAGATGGGCTACTGTATAATTGAGGATCATTCTTGTTTTTCTATGATCTAGAATATATTATAATAAAAACCTACACCTGCAAATATATGATTAAAAAATCCAAAAGAAAGAAATAATAATTTGCAGTAGAACATATAAAAAATATCTAGAGACCATATCTTTTCTCCAAATTGTATGATTTTAACATCTATTTTTTTTTAGGAAATTTCGTAAACCTTTAAATAATCACAAACGGACTTGAAATCCAGATTTGAAAAAAAATCGGTTCAGTAGTTCCGAAGAAAATTGGCCGAAGACGGGCGGACAAAAAAATTGTTATTGATTTTCGAATTCAATGTATTCTGAAACGTAAAACGCCAAATTTTGTGGGGGAGTTAAGTTATGGAATTTTTCGGTAGATTACAATGGTTCATTATTAAAAATAATAAAGCAAAAATATTTTAAAATCACGATATCTTTACTAATAATGCTCTGATTACGATAAAAGTTTATTCGTTTTTTAAGAAATTTAAATAATTTTGAAACAGTTATAAAAATGACAAAAGTTTACACTTTTTGAGTTATTCAGGATAAATTTTACCACCCCTCGTAACTTTTTTTCCAGCTTCTTTTCGTTGAAGTATGTTATATAGATAAATTTAAGCGGCATCGAGAAGAAGAATTTAGCTAAGTTTCATTGAAATCGGTACATTCGTTTAGGCGCTACAAGTTTTTCGGTCGCCATCTTAAAAAAAAAAGCGGATAGTAGTGTCGATCTAGGAGCATCATCTTCGAGTGATCTCTGACTTTAAATCCAAATTTGAAAAAAAATAGGTACAGTAATAACGGAGAAAATGCGAGGACGGCCGACGGAAAAAAAAGGAATGAAAAAAAAAATTATTTTATTTTCGAATTCTACGTATCCTGAAACGTAAAACCTTAAATTTTGAGGTTGGTTGAGTTTTTGAATTTTTCCGTCGATTACAATAGTTCATTGTTGAAAATAATTAACCAAAAAGTAGGTATTTCAAAAATACAGCTAAACAAATTATATTTTTAAAGATGTACATAAATTGTGCAAGGTAATTGTTCAAGAAAATAAGTCTATAATTAAATTCCGCCTTAATAAGATAGTAAAATATTTCAAATGAATGATATCTGTTGGTTCTCTGAACTCAGAGCAGTCTAGAAGCTTCCAGAATATCATGGAAGCTTCAATACGTGCATGATGCAACACTCGGCAAGGCTTGCATGCAACTCCAAACTTCCTTTTAATTCTTTAATTTCTAAATTAAATAATATTAAGGAAAATTATATATATTTTATAATTAATAATTTAATATATATATATATTTATAAAAAAAATATTACTAATATAATAAATAATATCTAATAAAAACGATTTTTTATTTTACGTACATAGGCCTTTCCTCAATAAGCTTGTTAGCTTCAATGGTACATTATTTAATATATACATATTTTCTTTTTTTAGAATACTAGTACTTGAAATATCAGCTAGTACTTGAAATATATAATATCTTAGTGATTCGGCAGAGAAACATTAGGATCTCGAAGATCACTGCTTTTCTCCCTTCACAGGTGGTGGAAAAAGCTTGGATCGGAGTTCTCCAATATTTGCAAATATTGTATATTAGTATACCTGTATTTAAGCTGTTATTTTGATTAATTTATTAATGTTCTTTTTCGTTTATTTTAATATTTTCTTTTTTAAATATTATTTTACTTTCATTCCATTTAATTTATTTTTATTCTATTTTGTCATTATTAATAATCCTAATCGTCCTTAATTGTGACAGAACGTTATATAACTCAATAAAGAAATATAAATATTTCAATAAAACCAATAAATTTTTTTTTAGTTCACAAAATAATAAACTTCCAAAGCAATAATAATCATCTTTAAATAGTTACAATATTTTACTTGAGTTACAATTTTTTTTTTTACTTTAAGTCTGTTCGGTAAAACGGTACCACCAATTTAAATTGAATTCAGTATAATAGCATTTTGACAAAAAAAAAAAATAATAATAAAAAAATAAAGCTATCGACACAAAGTCATGAAAAATTTGGTTAAAAAAACATTTAGTATATGTTTAAAAAAACGCCGCATGAGTGAGGTATAAAATGTGTAATTTAAAATTAAAAGCTCCCAACAGTGAATCTTCAAGCTGAATCTGCAGGTTAATTGCAATGATCCAACACCCTACCCTGCCAGAAAACTCTAGTTTATAGTAAATTAAGCTAAATAAGGGGAGGGGGGGATATTCTACATCAATTCGGCGAAACAAATCAAACCTACCAAACTTTTCATAATTTATCTACATCAAACATGTAGTTTGAACATGTAAAAAATGATGTTTGTGTCAACATCCGTAGCCGCACTTTCTATCAAAAGGATGTTTAGTACACAATACAATAAAAAATTCAAATAATTACACAACAAAACAACATGACTTAGATTTATTTTATTATTTCCTCTAGTTTTTTTTTTTTCATTGAAAATAATTATAAACTTTGAAAATATAAATTTTTCGTCAAGAGTATTTAAATACATTTTGCACTTTAAAAAAAATGTTATAATTTTATCAGTTCTTTCCTATGATGGAGAGAGCTTTAAAATGCATCAGTTAAATTAAACACTCAAAAAATTAACACAGTGTAAAGAACGACATTTTTCTTTTATTTAAGCTCTAACAAACCTGAAGAATAGAATTAAGACTTTTTTGATTCCTATAAGTAAGTAAAAAACCCACATCATCACAAAAATCCGCACATTGGTGGTAAAAAATACCACACCTCGACAATAGATCACTAAAAGAATTTTAAAAGGTATTTTAAATTTCAGAAAAGAGATGATATTTCTTTTATAAATTTTAACGGAATAAACCATCCAGGATATATAGTGCGAGGTTCTTATCAGGAGACAGGATATGGTCAACACTCATCTAGCAATATGTGTTATTCTTGCATTATTTCCGGTAATAGAGAAGAGACATAGCTGCTTCGCATTGATAATAATTATCACCATTTTATGAATGGAAGATAATGTCAAATAATAAATTATCAGCCGCAAAATGTGTGGTATCTTCTGTTACTTTTACAATGTTTTTTTTCTTTAATTCTTCATAATTAAGTATTCAAAACCTCTAGAAAGCTATTTAAGCTGAGTAGCCACGAGCGCCCCTAGCACTTGGTTGGTTGGGTATATAACACATGTGATATATTTATGACAATGTACTGTAATGTAGGGATTGAATGAAATGTGGGAATGTAGGAACCTAAAGGAGGCGAAATATATGAATTACACGTAGAAATATGCGAGTTCTTGCCGAATTAAGAATATTTAAAAAAAAAAGAACCATGAAGTAAGCCGATTTTGAAATTCTAACTGAATAAAAATAATGTAATGAAAAACACAAAAATAATTTTCTTTAGAAACGGTATACTTTACAAAGTAATTATTTTTTGAAATGTCTGAGTAAATGTGTTTCATTTTAAGATATGGTATAGCTGAAGTACAATACAATAAATTTATTGTAATTACAAAAAGAAATCCATTTATTTATTTCAAATTGCTATAACACAACGTTCGTGTCCGGCTTGATTATAATTCATCGTGCTGATGGAAACATTGAAGAATGATGTCTGTGTCAACATCCGTAGCCGCACTTTCTATCAAAAGAATGTTGTGCAAAATAATGATCATTAAAGGTTGGTTTTTTTATTTGCAGAATGTAGCTATCCAGTATAAACTGTTATTTATTTAAGCGATTATAGATAGGGAAATATATTGACTTCAACGAACCACATTAATAGGTACCGATGTTATCATCGCCAAACATGCAACACAGTTCAGTCACCAGTCATGTTGAGTAGATTCGAGTCCATATTAGTGACAGTTTTCATATCATCTTTAGTTTTTGGGACTTTTCCAATGAAGAAGTATCCAGGGATGACTTACCAGTTCTCCTGGAAGTTGTACAGCTATTGTATATTGATTGGTCTGATCGCCTGCGTCGAAGGGACGTATTGGATGTTAGCTGGATTCCAACACTATTCGCACTCCGTATCCATTATCATTGAAAGTATAGGCTTCTGGTTCAATGTATTCACTTGGGTATCGGTTCTTATCCAATACTACCTCCAGAGGGAAATTCTGCCCGACATCATCTCTCGGCTTTACGCTGTTCACTGTCGCATCGGCATCACCGTTTATAGACGACGTTATGCTACTGGAATCTTCTTCCTGACTCTGCTCAACGCCATACCCAGTATCATGTACATCGGAAGCGATATTTTATTTGTGGACTTCCTCCTAGTGAGCACATACTTCATCTTTATAAACGTACCAGTGATCATGGCATGCCAGTACTCGGTTCTAATGAGCCTCCTTACGGATCAGTTGACCTTTTTGACAAACCAGTTCCGTCTGCCAATGTTCAGCTTCGATGTACGGCAACTGGTTAAGAATCACCATGCTCTCTGCGTCCTGGCCAATCGTATCAATAAGGGCTTCAACATTTTTCTCCTTCAAGCCACCGCTATACCTTTCGTCCTTATTGTGATCAACATTTACATAGTCGTCGTTTGTATTGTTAAACCACAAGAATTTGATGAAGATTCCAAGTTGCTAACTGCTGTGATGGATGCCCTCGTGAACATAGGAATAATAACGTTGATAGTAACTGCAGCAAAGGGCGCCGAGGACAGTGCAAGTATCTTGATCGATTGTGCAATATTTGTAAAGAATTGTCATTCAGCAACTATGAAAATAATCCGGTTTATCCTCTGAAGTGTCATTATATGAGACGACATTAACAAAATGAAAGTGTAAATGTGTCAATTAATAAATAATTATTGTTAGCAAATAGTAATGACAGCAGTTATGTCAAAGCCTTTTTGACGGTTAATTATTATTATCTATTTCGAAAATGATCATATGAAATCTCCAAGGGATGAAAAACCTCTTTAGTTCACCATCAATTTTATTTATTTTCCTTCCTTACAAAGAATGTATGCGTAACAACTCACTGCTGAAGGTACAAGATTTTTTTTTTTATAATCGGATGGGCATATATTTTCAATTTTGTTAGATCTTCTTCAACAATTCCTCTGTCTGGTTGATATTCAGGAGCGATTCCTTTTCTCCCAAGGTTGAAGTTGTCTAAATCCATCGAACTTTTCCATCCGTATCTAAACGTTTTGTAGTAAGAGTTATTCTTCAATGGCTATCGTCTAAATCACTGTGGTGGTAGCGTCCGGTTTCCCTTTATAGTAGTGCTTTAAAACAATATAACCCACGATGTGACTGCTCCAGCTAGGTCATAGGGGGTCAGTCAATGTTACCCATAGCCACAAAACTCATATGGAAAGCCTCCATGTTATGAGAGACAGTATTCATGGAGGACCCATTTGACCTAGAACTAGACGGTAGGAAAGTACTTCTTTAAGGTAGATTTTTTCGGGATTGTCGAAAATTCATTATTAATTTGGACAGAAGAATGTGCTGTGTGATAATTTAATAAAATAATGAGAATTTCAATTGGATGAATATTTTAAGTACTCCTTTCTCCAAATTTAGTTTTTTTAAGTTAAATGAATTTTTGGCTATACAGAGATTTTCACGGGCCAAGGGGGAGGGCTCAGCATTAATGCCACAGTTTAAAGTCCCCCTCCTTCCGAGACCGTCGTGCGAACTTGTAATTATTTTTATCATAGATACATATGTGTATCGAATAAAAAATATTATACCGGCAGCACAATGTCATATTTTCTGTTTCTAAGACGATGGTAAATTGATTAGGTGCTTAAAAAGCTAAATAGTAAGTCATGAAACTCACAATTTTATAGAACAAAATTAACGGTACTGAGGGATAACTGGGTTATAAATCAATTACAATAGATAACAAACTTAATGAAATAGGTAGTTTTTAAAGTATATTTTGCTTTGAAAAATGTCCTAGTAAGTATTTTAATTTTAATAATTTTAAAAAGGTAAATGGTAAAATAAAAATAAAAGTTTCCTTTATGCTTTTGTTATTATTTTATAATTTTTTTTTCAGGCTAAGGACTTCAATATTCAACTATGGAATAATATGTTAATCAGCAAGACTTTAGGAAAAGATGTAACTATAATTTAAACAATGTTAAGATTTAAAAAAAAAAGTCTTAAATAAATTTTAACTAAATTAATAATTCATATGAAAATGGATTAGAAGTAGTATTTTTCTTTTTACAATAGTATTCAGGTCTACCAACAGAGGTGATCATGAGTGAAGTGGATAGTTGAAATGTTTTTTATTTGCGGATGGGAGACAAGAGAGCGAAAAGTTGCATACTTTTAAAGAGGGTTTGAAATCTTTAATTAAAAAAGTAAAAATAAAAATCAAATCTGATCTGGAATTTTTAAAAATCATGAAATGATTTTTATTAAGAGCGATTTTTATTTTTGATCATAAGTGATAAAAATCATATCCTGATCATTTTTAAACAAAATTGTAACAATTAACTATAATAATAATTCTAGAGTAATACGTTTTGAAATTATGAATATCATTTTTTTAATTTCTATGGTATATTTTAAGTCTGCAGTATCAGGTGGAGAATATTGTTGTCAAATATTAGCAACAGAACATCTTTGTTTCCGAAATTCATTAGAAATGTTGGCTATATATATATATATATATATATATATATATATATATATATATATATATATATATATATATATACATACACATACAGGGTTTTTCAGGGTAAAGTTTCCAAACTGTAAAAATAAACTAAGGACCTCAAAAGAAGCAAAAAATATCCTCTAAACGTATGTCTGCAAACGCTTCGTTTAGGAGATATTCATACCTAAAGATTTTCGTTGTTATGAATTATTTACGTTAAATGAAAAAAATTAAACCTATTTATTTGTTCTAACTACTTTATTAATTAAATATAAACATTAACATTCATATTAAATGTTGTCAAACTGAAGGTATGTCCTCAAACTTTGTTTAGGAGATGGATTAGATAGTATACTAATATGGCCTTTTATACCTAACAGTATATAAAGTATTATCAACGTAAGGATTAATACTATTTAGAATTAGCATTGGGAACTCTCAATAACATTTATCAGTTTGTAAGAGGTTTTCGCAGAGTACTTATCATTATGCCTTCCATTTATAATGATGGTGAATATGCCGATATGGTGTTTGTGTACGGTTTTTGCCATAGAAATGCTAATGCTCCCTGTCGTGAACATGCCAGGCGATTTTGTGAATAGAAGGTTACCAAATAGTTTATCTTTAGCTCCACGTTTCAAAGTCTTAGTGGAACTGGTAAATTTGCCGGTGGCCAGTGGCTTGGCCTGCACTCTCTCCAGACTTGACACCACGGGATTTTTTTGTTTGGGGTGATATTAAACAAAACGTCTATGTAAGTCCGGTCAATGACTTCAATTTCTTTCGAAGTAGGATGATTGAATCTTGTGAAACAATAATACATAACCAGTGCCGTTCAGCCATTGCTGCAATTGAAGAAAGATGCCGAATCTGTCTTAATACTTGTTAAGGGAATCACTTTGAATAACATTTAATATGAATTTAATGTTTATGTTTAATTAATAAAGTAATTGGCACAAATAAATAAGTGTTATTTACTTAATATAACGTAAATAATTCAGAACAATGAAAATCTTAAGGTGTGAATATCTATCTCCTAAACAAAACGTTTGCGGACATACCTTCATAGTAATTTTTGTTCTTGTTTTGGAGTCCTTAATTCATATTTTCAGTTAACCCACTTAACCCTGAAACATCTTGTATATATATATATATATATATATATATATATATATATATACCTTGTGCACAATGAAAGTGATTTCAAAATATAATATTAAAAATTGAGTAGATTAATAACGTAAATTTGTGTGTAGAAAGTGATTATTATTATCAGACCAAAATTAAAATATTCTCCTAAACAAAGCGTTTGTGGACATACCTTCATATGAATTTTTGTTCTTGTTTTGAGGTCCTTAATTCATATTTTTAGTTTGGCCACCTAACCCTGTAACACCTGTATATATATATATATATTTATAATACTATATATATATATATATATATATATATATATAGATTAATAACGTATGTATACATATTAATATTTAATTTAATTTGTGTGTAGAAGGTGATTATTATTTTCAATGAGTAATCATTATTTATATTCTAATAAATGAACATCCAAGAGCGATTTAAAGTTTTTATTTATAAATCAATCATGATTTTCAAATTAAAAATCAAATATAATAATCATTACATGATTTTTTGGAAAAAATAATTTTCGGTTTCAAACCGCGCTTTTAAACATACATAAAAAAGAAACCTGTACCGCTACAATTCATCAGAAGGGTCTTGGGTACAATTTAAGGAATGTGCTGTTTCTTGCTCAACGGTTGTACAAGAAAGTGATTTGACCGAGATCATGCAGGTTTTCTTCCTTATTTATTTTTTAAATTAAGGGTGCCCCTTAATTAATTATTTAATTAAGGGTACCCACTTTATAGAGGCTAAGTGTGGCCCAGGATGGTCTCCCGACCCCAGAATCGATCCACGGCTGATGGAACAGAATAAATAATTTATCTGCTATTAGCCGGGATTCGAACCTGGGACCTTGAACATTGGAAGCTCAGCGCCCTTTCATTGAGCTATCCCACTCCCTTTAAAACGTAAATAAAACAAAGTTTCAAGTGTTTTAAACTTGCAGTAGTATGCTGTTATGCAGTCATGCATAACAGCCCACTGTTGCAAACGCCCGTATGGCCCATCAGGCAAGGTAGCGTGGAATGTAAATGAAAAAATAATAATAAAAAGTGTCAACTGAGAAGAGATTCACATGAAACTGTAGTATCAGTCAGTTTGGGAGTTAGGAGAGAACTTCATTGAGATGTATGGACACCTCATATGGTATTTTTCGTACAAGTAGAGTTTTATACTTAAGGTGCTTTCACACAAGAGCTCCTAAATGAAGAATTTCCTGACAATTTTTTTTTTTTTTTTAGAATGACCTCAAGATTTACGTTTACATGAATAACAATATTCAGCAAACTGCTTGTGGATTTTTTGAACTCGATTACACACTGCTGACTTCGGTAAGGACATCACAGATTTCCTGAAATTGCTTTTTAAAATATCATTGTTTGAGTTAAATTAACATTCACAATTAAGTTCTAAAAATATATATAAAATGTTTAGATGATTGCTGGGGCGTTAACATACGTCATCCTCCTCGTTCAATTTACGTTGCTTCGATGAAAACATCCACAGGATTCCTAATTCTTCAAATACTGTCGCTTTCCAACAAGCCCAGTATATAAAAGAGGTACAAGTATGTAAAAGAGGATTCGAAAAACACGATAAAGAGCTTTAATTATAAATTTATGGGTTTTAGTTTAAAATGTCTAAACTTTATATTTATGATAAATAAAATAAGTCTATATGGATTAAATGTGACATATAATTGTGTAGTTTATTTTTAAAATAAATTTACTTTACAATAAATCTACCTTTCAGATTCCTCAAAAAAATAACTTATCTATATAAATAAAAATGTAAATGTTCGTTTGTTTAAAACCGCTAATCTCCGAAACTTCTTCACCAATTGCTTTTAAATATTGACATAAGGTTTCTATCGGATTCAGGAGTGTTTTTATATACATTTAACTACCCTCCGGCCCTTCGTTTCGGAAAAACGGCCGAAAAAACATGGTGTCACTATAGACTGTAGCGCCTAAACGGTTGTAACGATTTTAATTAAACTTGGATAAAATCTTCTCCTTGAAGTCCTTTTTACATCCTCCCCCAAAAAAGTATGAAAAAAAAGTTGTGATGGATTCAAAACTATCGCTCAAAAAGTACTCAATTTTTGTGCGATTAGTTCCATAATTATTTGACTGCTTTCCCAATTCTTTGCAAAATAAAAAATAAATTTAAAAAATCAGACGATTTGGTGCAGAGTTATAATGTTTTAAACATTTAGTACTTTTCTTCGGAGATTTAGAGAATTGCTTCTCACATGGACAATTATAATTCGCGTTGTCTATACTTGGAAAACTAGACAATCTCTATATCTATAAAAATAATGGAAAAAAAGTATTGTTTATTGAAAAGTATTGCGAAATAAAGTATATTAGAAACATCTGCTTTCTTTTTTTATTTATTTTTCTATTCAACCAGGATGAGCCACAGCAATGCATGGCCGGGTACAGCTAGTATATAATATGATTTAATTTTAGTAATAAAAAGAAAAGTTGTAAGTAAATAATTAAGAAAATCATAGAAATAAGTATTTTAAAAAAAGTATCTGTCTTTGTAAACCTACTTAACTGCCACGAAAATGAAAACATGGAATGTATTATAAACAATATTTTACACTAGGTAAATAAGTAATGATTTCCGCCACAGTTTTAATAGACAAATTTTTTAGAAAAACTTGAACTCAGGTTTTTTTGCTTTCACTTATGTACATATGTAATATATAGTAAGGGTAAGTATGGCGATCGTAAAAATTGTTGAATCTGAAATTTCAACGGGAATACACGTTTTGGGTTACCCTGAGTCCAAATAACCAAGTCCTGAAAAATAGTCTGCGTGTCTGTGTGTCCGTGTGTCTGTGTGTCCGTCTGTCTGTGTGTATGTTAGCAGTCTAGCTCAAGTCCTACGAAACTGATATTACGTATTTAAGATAGGTATATGCCTTAGATGTGCTCAATGTTCATATGTGTCTTCCTCTAAAGGACCTTTAATATAGTTTATTTTAAATAATTAACTATCTCTTTTTATTAAGAGTTACGAAAAAATGCAAAATATAACTTTTGAAGGAATTTGATAATTGAATAAAGATGAAAAAATAAAAATGCTTATCCAGGTCGAAAATGAATCTCCAGAAATACTAGTCAGAAGGTATACTTAATATATCGTTGGAAAGCGGAGAATTTTAGAAAAAAAAAAACAATATTTAATATAGAAACTTGCAGAAGGTAACATAGAGTGGCAAACAAGTATAATAATTAAATAATAATGTTTGAAACTAATAATATTTAAAGTAAATCATATGTTTTCTAGGAAACTAAATGAAATTTACTAACTAAATGTAGACTTTTAAAATATTTTTAAGTTTGAAAAATGTATTTAAAATCCACCTAATCAAGGCAATTACATTGGTTAAAAAACTATTTCATTGTACTCCTGTGAAAGACGAAATAAAATATAAAATCATTTCATGGATGTATAAAGCATATGTTTATAACCTTGAATATACTTACTGCACTTTAATAATTCCAGATCTGATATTTTTTTCATATACATATAACGACAATTAATTTAAAAAAATAAAGAAATTAATTACCTATATGAAATGGTGTTTAAGTGGTTCTTGAAGTCCTATTAAATACAATTACACGAACAAGAATACTTTAAGATATAGTTTTTAATATTTTTTTCTGTAAAACATGGTTGCATTTTACCATTTTGGGGGGGCTTCAGCCCGAAAGCCTCCCCCCGTAGATCCTCCTGTGCGATATATAATAAGTAGTACAGATCAGTTTTCCGGCTCTCAAGAGAGATGAATTTTGAGAAATGAGGTTACAAACAAAATGGAATTTCGCGGAGAAGTGACTAATGCCAACTTCGAAACGTAATACCTTACTGCAAATACATCTAAAAAAATGTAAGGTTTAAAAATCTGATGGTTTCAAAACTAAAAGTCAGAGGATCAAGACGGGATAATTTTTACTTTAAAAATATTGACGCGAACATCAAGACACTGTACAGCTTCAATTGAACTCCGCTCTAGGTTTTAAAGCCCAAAACATACCTTTTTCGAGATAAAACTTAAGAGTAATTCTTACTGAAAGCCTCTTTGACGTTACGGTTGCCTTGCGATACTTTTCAAATGTCTAAGTTTCAAATATTAAAACATTATTATTTACGAATGAATCTTATTGATATTTTTAATAAATCAGAAAAATATCCTGGTATGACTTTTTTACTCTCAGGTATAGATTTCAATACTCTTAATAAGTGAGATAACTACAAATCAATGCTGTTCTGCATAAAAAAAGGTCTTGAGCGTGGATGATAATGGGTGATTATAAGTTTAGGGATTGCTTTGTCTTATTGTCTAACTATTAAAATGGAGGGATACTTTCCAGTGGAATAAGCTTATTACTTAATAAGTAAATTGTTACTTTATTAGCCATGGTAGCACACCAAGCTTTACCTTATCTAATATCTTAATAATAGTATATTTGATATACGAATAAACATTTCGGTGATATCGCTTTTACGTTGATTGCATCAGAGAGAAAAAAATAGCAGTTTCTTCTCACTGGGGTACACTAATCGCTAGTTAATTTGTGTACATGTATTTCTTTTATTTTTACCCTATCCTAGAAAAGTAGTTTATTAGCACGCCAAAACGCTTCACAAGGTCATAGATTCAAAGATAACTAATTACGCTACAGAAGCATGTTAATGCCCCTAATACTGGTGATCTATGAGATAATGTAAATAAGAGCCAGGTATAGGACAGGCTGGTAATCGATGAATGAAGTTGCTGATCCTATCGCAAGCTTCCTCTCAGTATGTCAGCCATGCTCGGTCGATTCGAGTCCATTCTACCAGCGGCCCTCATTATTTCTCTCGTCTTTGGAGCTTCCCCTTTCAAGAGGGTCGAAGGGATGTCCTATGTCTTCTCTTGGAACCTCTACCTCTCTTCGATTGCCATAGGTATCCTTGCCACCGCCGGAGGAATCTTTTACATCCAGAAATATTTCTGGAGCTCCCTATCTATGGCCACCATTATGGACATTTTAATATTTACATGCTCTATCTGCACTTGGGTCATAGTCTTCCTTCTGTATTTCGTACAGAGACTAGAGCTACCCGCAATAATATCTGAACTTTATACGACCCATAGTCGGATCGGAACCGTCTCATACGGAAGGAAGTACTTGGTGAGTATGATATTTATGACAGTTGTAAATGCTGTACCACAGTTGTACCTATTGGTGGCAGAGTTCTCTTGGATGAAAATTTTGGAATCGATGTTATTTTACTTGTTCTATAACATACCTGCCGTTGTCGCTGGTCAGTACTCCGTCCTGTTGAACCTCCTTAGCGACCAATTGGCCTCCCTTTCCAAGCTCCTCAGCTCTTCCAAGTTCAACCTCGAAGTACAACACTTGGTCGAAATCCACTACTCCCTCTGCTCGCTTGCTACCCGGATCAATAATGCTTACGATATCTTCCTTCTTCAAACTGTGACGCTCCCTTTTATAGCCGTCATCATGAGGACTTACGTGAACATAATATATGTAGTTAAACCCGGTGAATACTCATTTCAGAAGACCATAGCATCCGTTCCTGGTCTTGCTGTGAATTGTATTATGATTGTGATGGTTGTTTCAGCAGCTAAGAGGGCTAAAAACTGTGTAAGTGAGTTCTATTTGTTTACCTTTACTGTACTAGATATAGCAGATTTTGTTCTAACTACTATTAAAATCAGATTAAAACAGTTAAATTAAGCAGTAAAGGCTGTGTTTTTTATTGGCTCCCCTTACTATATATTTCGTACAGGTAAGTGAAAGTAAAAATGAGTAATAACTAACGGCTGCTACGCACAGAATGCTATATTTCTGGCAGTAAGATATTCCATTCGGCGGCGATTTGGTGATGTAGTTGTATTACTATCTGTCACTAGCGGATCCAGAATTTAATTTGGGGGAGGGCTTCAGGCCGAAAGCTTTTTTTTCATAAAAATAACGATAATTACTTTGGAAAATAAGAAAAAACTAACTACCTATATGAACTGGTGTTTAAGTGATTTCTAAAGCCCTTTTAAATGTAATTACACGCATAATTATACTTTAAGAGATAATTTTTAATATTTTTTTCGATAAAACGTGGTTATATTTTACCATTTTGGGGGGGGCTTCAGCCCGAAAGCCCTCCCCATAGATCCGCCCATGCTATCTGTTACATTATATTACCCGATGATTTGTAGCGATACAAAGGATATCGTATCGCCGGGATACTTGGTGTTCTGTGTGTAGAAGGGTATTTATTCAGTCCTATTGTTACAAATACTGTCAATTTTTGGGGGAAAAAACATAGTCTATAATGATTGAAACCGAATTATTAAATTATAACTAAAAATTTTTTATTTATTTTTAATGAAATTTACAACTGTATTATATGAACAATACAACTAGTAGATGTGACGTTGGTAACATGACATGTACAACATGAAGAGAAACTACCCATTGGTAGAACTCAAAACTAAAAATAAGTAAAAAATAAATAATGATTTGTTAAGGGTGATCCAAAGTCACAAATAAACATTTTTTTAAAATTTTTATTATATTAGTTTCGGTCAAAATATATAGACAACTTTAGGGTTCAAGCATTTTGACAAAAGCAACCTACCTACAAATATACAGGTATGATTAGTCAATCCTACCTGCTGAATAGCCTAAATATTTTAGGCGGAAAATGAATTGGTATAATATAATATAATAGTACAGAAATGGTATAAATATAACAATTTGGTTATTTTATGGGATTGTAATAATGAATTATCACCGACAAATTTTTGAAACTCATTTAAACCATATTTCCTATTAGTGCTTTAATACATTTAGAAATGTTTTGGATTGGTTTATTTCTATATGTAATCTCATATGTAACAAATGTATGTTTTATTTTGACAAAAATATGTATACATTGTTTGTCCTTCCACAAGTAATTGCATAGATCATAATCGATGTTGCAACATTAAAACACACGACTATTGTTGAATCAGGCAATCAAGTCTACTTTGATAAAAAATCAGCTATTCGCTTTTATCTTTTCCTCAATTCTTGACGATATTTTAGGTATATTCTAAGATTATTTTATTATTCCTAGCTTCTGTCTGCCGATTTATTAAGTTCCATACGCACAACTTATTTTCTTAAAAATCCACGGGCAACCATCTATACTATTGGCCATCCAATATTCACAACGAAAGAGAAAAAAAAATTAGTTCTCCAACCTTAGAAAATTGTTTGAAAGATGGAAAATTATTGAAAGATAGTATCGAAATAAGTTCAATAATAAGTTAATCGTTCAGAATAAAAGCTTTGTTTAATTTATTTTATTTTTTATTTTTGGCCATAACACTTGCCAAAGCAAGTCCTGTTTTGTCAGTATATGGTCCTTAAGTTGTTACTAGTTACTTGTTGAAAGTGATTCCAAAACGCAAATTAATATGCGTATTAAATCTTAAAATTATAGATGTTCTTAAATTTTGTAATGGCTATATTAACTTATAGTTCCACTTGCAACTGGAATTACTACAATAATTTAATAGTTTTATAGGCTTAAAAAAGTTTTATTGAACTTACACATAAGTTTGTGGTTCTCAATAGAGCATAAGAGACTTAAATAAGTGCATTTATCTCCTTTTGGAATTTTCCTAATCATCGAAAATTATCTTTTTAATTCTTTCTGATTGTCTTTCTGTTTAACTTATAAGAAATATTACAGGTATATATAAGGAAAGAAGGAAAACGAGATTTATATAAAACATTTTCATTAACATTCCTTTTCTAACGCGGGAATATAGAGTGGGTGTTAATACGAAATTAAACACACTCAAGGTATATATATTTCTGATATATTTATTGGCTTGAGTATGCCATGTATCCATGGGAGTTTATGGCAAATGGTGTTAGTTTTAGTCCGTGGTTCAGACCCCTTTTTTTTTATCGAATTATTAACATCCGTTTAAAACTTAGTGAATGGCTTATCGTAACTAACAACTTTTTTATCTACAAAACTGTTAGAAATGGGGCGCCCACTCATTAAATCAATTAATTTAATCAGGTAAATAAAATTCACAAATACTCATTTCCTTTCCACTTGAATCGTAAGATAATTTGATGACAAAATCGAAAAAAAAAAACGGATTACAAAAATATTGGAACGTTCGGTCTATATAATCTCGTTATTTTGATATGTTGTGTAGGAGATCACGCCAAACGTTTCAATATTTTTGTATGCCACCATTTTTCTCGATATTTTGATCAAATTATCTTATGATTCTAGGAGAAAGAAAGCAAATGTGTGTTTAGTAGAATCACAGGTCCTTAATTCGAATATTGCGACTGAGTGAGAGGCCGGGATCTCCTAGAGTCCTGCCTATCCTTCGAAGACTGCGGGGGGAGGGGAGGGAGAAGTTCGGGAAGTTTGGTTTGGAGTTCTCCTGAACAATATAATTTGTAAATACTGAATATAAGTATGCTTCTAATTATGTTGTTATTTTGATTAGTTTAATTTATTTTTATATATTGTATATAGGGTGTGAATGTGCTCTATAAACACTATTACAAATGTTCTTAATTGAGACAGATTGTATGTAATATTTCTCAATAAATAAGTTTAAAAAAAATAATAAATATAAAAAGTTTGCCGATCTCCAGATTGAAAGCGCTCCAATTCCAACAATTTTCGTAAATAAATATGTTGCAGGTTACGATGTGATGAAACTATGCACGAAATTTTAAATGGATGTTAATGATTTGATTAAAAAGGGTTCTGTAGCACGGACAATACAGATAATGAATGCTAAGGGATTTTATTAATAATGTATTGTATTAAAAAACACGAATGAGAAAGAGAAATATATTATTCAATAGATCGAGGATTTTAATAACCAAATTGTTTTTCGCTAGTGGGTGCTTCGAGAGAAGGTAGTAATACAATTTTTATTGTTTGGGGATTTTCTTTATTTGAAATAATGAAAATTCCTATTAAAAAAAATTGTCGAAAATCATATATTGTCTAAACCATAGGAGGGTTCTTATCATTAATAAAATTTGCAGTAAGGTTAGACAGTGCTAATTGAGCAACAATTCTTTATCTTTTACCGTTGGAATTTTTATTTATTACTAAATACTCACACCTATATACATATATACAACTTAATTCTATTAATTTACAAATTTTTGTTACTTAAATAATTAAATATTAATTAATTCTAGCACTAGATTAATAAATACGGCATTTGGAGGCCGCAACTCCGTCACAGAGGCCACACGCGGCCTCCGAGGCATCGCTTCTCCACCTATTATCTAAACCTAATACAATATACCAGTTTTTTCATACAGTTGCACTCCTATACTATATTATACCAGTCTAAATCCTCTCTAAAATATTAATCTTCAGTACCCTGACTTGAAGGATTAATTGTTCTTAGTTATCTGTAGATATTTTGTAGGTTAATGTTATCTAGATGTTCGAATCCAGAAATTTACATTATGTTGTAACCATAATGTTATAAAAAAAAAGAACAAGATTAATCTGGTAATATTAATCAATGTAGTGTTGAACCTATTTGAAAAGGTAATTATTTTTTATGAAACTTTATGGAATGTTATATTATAATTTAATTTTCCTTTCAGGCTAAAGTCTTCAACTTATTGCTGTTCGATACACTGATGACCAGCAAGAGCTTAGGAAGAGATGTAATAATTTTGTCTTTATCAATAATTTTCTTACTTACTCATTATAAATAATAATTAATATTATTATTATTAATATATTTGAGAGTAAACTTTCAGAATAACTTGCGTTCTTACGTAGCAATGGACTACAATATTAATCAAAGTGCCTGTGGACTTTTCTGCTTGGACTATCCCCTACTAACTTCCGTAAGCTGTATTATATTTAACTGCACAAGTTTTAATCTAATAAATTAACAATATATGATATTAATAAAGATAGATAAGATTGAATTACATATTATATAAACAATTTAAAATTGGCTTATTGTTTATTGTTGTTATCATTTTAGATGATCGCATCTACAGCAACATACGTAATACTGCTGGTACAGCTGACTTGGTTTCAATAGTCAACTTGTATAAGAATATGATAAAGCAGATATTAACTTCCGAGTTTATAACATTAACGTTTAATGAGTAACTTAATGAAGAACTTACGAGTCTGACAATGAGTACTAGTAAATATTAAATAAATCATTTTTGTAAGTTATAAATACCGGCTAAAATTACTTATATATATATTATAGTAATATCTTTGTTTTTCAGGGGGTAAAAAGTCCAATGAAAGTGTAATGATCAGTTTGTTCATGGCAGAACATTTAACTTTAATTTTATTACTAATAAAAATCATTAGCATAGTATATTTCTGATATGATAATAATTTTTTTTAAAAACTTTTATTATGATATTTACAACTGCATTAGTATGAATACATCAAGTAAATGTGTACAGAGGAATAAAATAACATGAAACACGCTCGTTAAGAAACTACCCATTGGTAGTACTCATAATAAAATTTAAAATAATATTCTAGAAGTTTAATGTACGTGATTTTACAAATATAAGTTTTATTTTTGATTGGTACTTATTTTTTATTCTTGGCTTCCCTTGTTTTATTATTACTTTTTACTTGACCAAATTGTCGATTTAATGCAAACAGTTATTAGGTGACATTGCAGAAAATTGAGCGCTTATTGTAGCAATGATTGATAAATATAAGGATATATGTTTGGTCATTTTAGTGTATTTGATTTTTGTAATCTATAAGTAACGTCGAAATTTACAAACAATTTCTTAAAAGTTCAGCTCCATCCAAAATGTATGTAGTGACCTTTTGCAATATACGGACGATATTAAGACTAATTGGCCTCCGCGAATAATTTCCATAGTAAATTGGACAGACAATTAAAAATTATAATAGAATTTGGAAATAAATAAATAAAATGTATTATGAGAGGAAGGGATTAGTTTTCTTTCTAAATAACGTACCACAACATATGCAACAATCAAAGTTGGCTGGATTGGTTGCAATTGCATAAAAAGTGGCCCAATTCAATAATATTTTTACCCGACTAAGCGAAGCGACACGAGGGTTATATGTTTGGGTCGTCCGCTAAAAGCTATCTAACGCTTTTTTGAGCGAACGGTTAGATCGTTTTTTAACTTTGATGGCTGAAATTATTCAGTGAGTTCTCCTGAGTGTTTTGAAACAATTGGAGCTAAAAATGCTGACCCATTATTAAATAAGATGTGCTTAAAGAATTTGAAAAAAGCTTTGTAACACTGTTTTGAGCGAACGGCTGGATCAATTTTAACTTTAATATATTGTATTATTTGGGCGAGTTCCACATGAGGTGAGAGCTTAGAATGCGAAACGAGGCGAGGATAATGTGTTCAGGGTGTCCGCTAAAAGGTATGTAACGATATTTTGAACGAACTGCTGGATCGATTTTCAAGTTTGATGGCTCAAATTATTCTGTCAGGTTTCGTAAGTGCTTTGAAATAATCGAGCTCAAAATCTTGTCAAATCACTGTGTAAAGTGAGTTAAATCAATTCGCTAAGGTACGTAAACATTTTTTGAGCAGAGGACATGATCGAGTTTTAACTTTAACGGCTGTAATTACTCAGTTAGATCTCGTGAATGTTTTGAAACAATCTAACCTCAAAATATTGAAAAGGTATTTAGTATAATTTAAGTATCTCGATCAGTGGTTGTTATGAAATGATATCATGTGATCATATATTTTGAAAATGAACTGTTAAAATTTTAAAAACAAAAACGTAAGAATAAATACTTCAATTTTAAACAAAAAGTACAGAAATTATTTTTTGTTTACATTTGGAATTGGGAAACTTTCTGGTTATCGTAGGTAAAATCAACAAAAAATTTAACACTTTTTGAGTTATGCGCAAGTAAAATTTCCTTTTTTTCGCATCTGAACGAGAAGAATCTTCATCAATGATTTAATCATTGAACATGGTGAAGAATTAACGAAGATGTGGTGTGTATACAAAAAAAAAAAACCTTTGAGAAATAATATAGAAACATAGTAGGATGCTGAAGTGATTTCTATGGGAATTTACTTTTTATTAGCTTTAAAAAAATAATCGAAAACAGAACATTTCCAGGAATACCATAGTAGTCGATAATAAGATTACGAGCGAGCGGTCTAACGAGTGTGCAAAACACGCATTATCAGCAATCTTATCAACAGAAAATAACATGATTAATAAATTAAAGAGTTTGCGTCCCTGTGCTTCGGAGACTCTGACATTAATCCTCCGCCCCCTCCTCTGCTCCAGTGAAAACCTTACGGGACTATACGCAGCCTAGAAGGTATGAACAAAAAAAAAAAAAAAAAAATACACTTGACGGACATAATAATAGATGGATAAAAGATATTAATATATGGCTGCAGTGACTTAAATGGTGCTGAATCAAGTCCTTTCCAGGAATTTTATGACACGTTTTGACGTAAAACTTGTGATTGCTGATCATTACATACAATTTGACAATTTTCGATATTAATTTCAGATAGATATGAATAAATAATGAGTTGAAGTAAATAAAAAACAGAACATTTATTTTTTTAAATTTAAATTAAAAAAATAAATAAATTCAAGAGAGTATAAGGAGAAACCACATTCCATTTCGAAATATTATAGGCTCATCGTTTTCAATCGAGAGTTGTCAAATTGTCATTTGATTCTCGTACAGTCTAACATGAGGCTCAATTTTACTCTTCAATTCAATAATTTAGAAAAATCATTAATAAAATGATCCCTCATTTGACCGAAGAAGTACATCTTACATCATGCCTGATGAAGACAATCACTCATGCAACAAACCATACCATAAATTCTGAACACCGATGAAACCATATCAAATTTATATTTATATTATCGTTCGAATGTACGAACGCTATTATAATTATTTGTTAAAGAATCAAAAGTTGTTTGTTTGTTGGGATTTTAAGGCGCAAATAAGCGTTATCAGGTTCATCAACGCCTACTAATTAATTTTGTTTATCTCTGAATTAATGTTTTAAGATATTTAAATTTTTTTTTAACGAATCGTTTGATTTCAAGAAACCCAACACTAACTTTGTTGTGTCTTCGTCATCTTTCAAATTGTTTGTTATTCGAGGTTTAATTCCTAAACTAGTTAGACCCGATCACTAGCAGAATCCAGGATTAAATTTTGGGGGCGGGGAGGCTTCAGTCTGAAAGCCTTTTTTTCATATATATATATAACGATAATTAATATGAAAAAAAAGGAAAGAAATTAACTACCTATATGAAATAGTGTTTAAGTGATTCTTGAAGTTCTATTAAATGTAGTTACATGAACAATAATACTTTAAGAGATATTTTTTATTATTTTTTTCTATAAAACATGATTATATTTTACCATTTGGGGAGGGGCTTCAGCCCGAAAGCCCTTTCCTCTTCCCCCATAGATCCACCTGTGGACCCGATACTTAAACAGGACACTCTTGTAATAAAATGTGGCTGACTGTAAGTGTATTATTGCTGTTTTGACATTGTGGTGTGGCCTATTCTCAGACTGAGAAAGACAACCTCTTCTGTGGCGGTATTACGATTTATTGTTGACCATAACTTCATTATTTTTTAAATATCTTAATATATTAATATATAGCACCAACAATGGGGTTCCAGAACCACGAATTCTCGTGGCCGAACCCTGCTGTCTGCACTCAATTCCCAACGTTTTCACCTCCTTTCCCCCAACTCTCCTACCTACTGGCCCACAGATCCCAACCGTAATCCTGATCTTCTTGATTTCTTTATCCACAGCGGCTTAAGTCCCCTCAATTGTTCCATTACACGTCTAAATGAACTTTCCTCTGACCATAGTCCTCTAATCCTTAATGTTTCACTTGAACCTGTTCCCAAACCTTCTCCAGCGTCATTCATTAGGGGCCCAGTAAACTGGGACCTTTTCCGCCAAATAATCTCCGATAATATTGATCTCAACATATCCCTCAAAACTCCCGATGACCTTGATAGTGCCGTAAATTCCTTTACTACCACAATCCAACAAGCCGCCTGGACTGCCTCCTTCCCAAAAGACTCCTCCAGAATTCCTATAAAGACCATTCTACCCCAACACATCCTTAACCTAATCCGCACCAAACGCCGTGCCAGATTATTATGGCAACGTACCCGACATCCTACCGACCGCTGCTCCTATAATTACTACTGCAAACAATTAAAACTGGAATTAGCCACCTTCAGATCACAATCCTTCAACTCCTACCTATCCTCCCTCTCTTCTCGCGACAATTCCCTTTGGAAAACCACAACAAAAATCCTAAATCCTCACCGCATTTCCCATCCTCTCCGACGAGGTGATGGCTCCTGGGCAGCATCTGACGAAGATAAAGCTGAGGAGTTCGCCATTCACCTATCCAATACATTTACTTCACATCCGGAATCCCATCCTGCCCACACCGTAACAGTAGAAGAACTCCTTACATCACCAATCCCACTTTCCTTGCCCCCAAAAGCTATTCATCCTTCCGAAGTAAAATTTCAATTAAAAAAACTAATCCTCCGTAAAGCTCCTGGACATGATCTCCTTACACCTCAAATCCTTCGACAACTTCCATCCAAAGCAGTCATATTCCTTACATATATCTACAATTGTATCCTACGCACCACCCACTTCCCTCTGTTATGGAAACACTCCACTATTATCCTTTTCCCAAAACCAGGAAAACCTCTCAATAGCTCAACATCCTATAGACCAATCAGCCTACTCCCAATCCTTTCAAAAATTTTTGAAAAGATCCTTTTGAAACGAATCCTACCCATTATAGAATCCCAAAATATCCCTTACCATCAGTTTGGTTTTTGCTCTCAACATTCCACTGTTCAGCAAGGACTCCGAGTTGTTGATCATATTTCCTCAGCCCTAGAAAACAAGGAATACTGTTCGGGTGCCTTTCTGGACATTGCACAGGCATTTGACCGGGTATGGCACTCCGGACTGCTCTCCAAGCTTAAAATCCATTTACCTCAGTCCTTGTACCTAGTCCTCCGATCCTACCTCTCTGACCGCTCCTTTCGAGTTCGCTGTGGAACAGAATTTTCCAATATCTACTCCGTTAAAGCCGGTGTTCCCCAAGGCAGCGTCTTGGGTCCCGTGCTTTACATCCTCTTTACTGCTGACATCCCTGTTCATCCCGATACTTTTCTTGCAACATTCGCTGACGACACCGCAATCTTATCATCCAACTCTGATCCCGAAATAGCATCCTTAAATCTCCAAAGTCACCTCACCTTGATTGAGCACTGGTGTAATAACTGGCGCATTAAAGTTAATGAATCTAAATGCCAACATATTACCTTTACACTCCGACGCAATTCCTGTCCACCAGTACTCTTTAATTCCATCCAGCTTCCTTATTCAGACACAGTCCGGTATCTTGGCTTTCATTTAGACCGAAGACTAACTTGGAACCCGCATACTAGACTCAAAAGACAAGAACTCAACCGACGATACGGCCAACTATACCGACTACTAAGCAGAAAATCTAAACTTTCCATTGAAAACAAG